CGACAATGTGACGAAGACGACGTTATAACGATGTGACGATGATGATTTAAAACAATGAAGTAGGATAACACGCCCGGGCCGAAACGCCCTGCCCGAGAAAACATGAGGTGACGACGACGTGACGACAATGTGACGAAGACGACGTTATAACGATGTGACGATGACGATTTAAAAAGATGAAGTAGGATAGCACGCCCGTGCCGAAATGGCCTGCCCGAGAAAACATGAGGTGACGACGACGTGACGACAATGTGACGAAGACGTCGGCCTAACGATGTGACGATGACGATTTAAAAAGATGAAGTAGGATAGCACGCCCGTGCCGAAATGGCCTGCCCGAGAAAACACGAGGTGACGACGCCATGATAACGATGTGACAATGATGATAAAACGCGGTAGTATCCTTCTGTTATTTTATTAACTGATAATACAATAAAGGTACAAACGAATGATTAAATACTATAAATGTTTTCATTAAACACTTTTGTGTTTGTTGAAAGGCCTCCAGATTAGTGATTAGATGGTAAAATGTTACTGTTCAGTATATTTTTCAGAAAAATATGGGTTCGCATAGGCTTTAATGAAACACTTGGTTGTTAACTGACATTACATAATACAATAACATCATGATTGATGTTATTGTACTCCTGCAACCTAATTAATACAAACCCGATTAACATATGTTAATGTATTCCCGATACAATTCCCCACGAAATTTCTGATACCTTCTATAGTCTTAAAGTGACTTCTCCAAACTGCGAGATTTACGAAGTGTTCCATCATGGAAGCTTTCAGACGCTTCCATCCCATTCCTCGTCGATGCTTCCATCCTGCGAACCCCTTCAGCTTGTGCACCGAAGCCAGCATGAGCCGTGACCTTGAAACGAGACGACTGCCAGTGAAACATCAATCATTGACACCGGGAGTACGATGATAATTAAATAACATGAAATTTATATGTAGAAATGAGTGTGATATATTGTGTTTATATGTGTTAAATAGTAGCGAATCTGGTGAGTTATACCGTAATCATTCAGATTCGGGTAGTATTAATTAATTAAGAATTATCTTAAGCAATAATTCAAGCCTATTTATCTTTATTACGAGAATCCTGACGGTATGAAAATACATTGGCATATCTTGAACTGAAAGCGTAAATTTGTGGTCTTACTCGATTAATATATACTAGCAAATAATATAATTTGACATCAACAATCCACAGTAATTTGAAGCGAAGTGGGTGAGAATGTAGTCACACACACTCACGCACTCACACATGCACACACACGCACGCACGCACGTACGCACGCACGCACACACGCACGCACACACACACCTGAATCGTCTCTTGATGGACAGTGGCGCCACCATGCCTCTGACGGTCATCATCTTCTTCCAGTGGGCGAGTTCGTCATCGTCATCGTCGTCATCGGCAACATTGTCAACGACATCGATGACGTGCGACTTTGTCGCGCGAATCATGGACCCGTACCCCGTCGGTTCGAACCTGCAATCGAACACGCGGTGGAAGAATGAAAACTCTCTGGCAGAAAAAAAACGATAATCATGCATCCAGCAAAGAATAAAAAGACGTAAATCATTAACAAAATCAAAGCTCGTCACCTGATGATCTGCATATTGCAATTCCACGCACAATGCTAACCTACATTCAGTTTTAAAAAAATTTATCCCAGTTTTACTAAAAAAAAGTTAAAAGTATACTTTAAACATAGGCTCAGAAAGTTCGAAGTTAACAGATAACCTATAGATTCAGTAAGTTAAAAGTCAAAAGTTAATGTTAAACTTAAGTTCAGCAAGTTCAAAGTTAACGTAAAACTAAAGTTCAGCGAGTTGACTTTTAAGTAACCTCGAAGAACCGCCGCGACGTACCTCCCAGCTTCCGACGGCTTCCTCCTCGACGTGCCGGCAGCCCGCGCCGCCGCCCTCTCCGCAAGCTTCTGTCTGCTCAAGGTCAGCCCGGGGTCGGACATGTGCGCCTGGTGGCTGGGCAGCATCGTGGAGACGGCCAGACGACTCGGACACTGGCTGCACTTGCTGAGCACGTTGTAGACTTCGCGCGCAAACTCCTCGTCTCCATCTTCTCGCCCTGCGAGGTGGAGGCGGCCATGTTGGAAAAAAAGACGGCGAATTGAAATTTTGGGTAGCTCTACCGGGGTGGCCCCTTCGCACCGGTGGAGCTAGAAATTGAAGTACTACCCTCATGGGCGTAAATCCCGAAAGGGGGGGGGGGAATGGGTGGATGCATCCCCCCCGCTCTTGAAGGAGGGGGAGATGGCCTGTACAAATATCCCCACTGAGATTCAAAAAAAAGAGAAAAAAAAGAATAGCCAAAACGTATGGTTGCAAACATTCAAAAACACGTGAAATTGTGAGAAATTGCAATTCTTACCTGTGTTTTAATACATGTATTATTACTATAGTAACCTATAACTGTGTACGCTCTCTGAAAAGTCATGAAAAGTGTTTTGAATCCTAACTTGTAGGATTGAGTTTAGGATTGAGATAGTGTCATCAGACATGAGAATATGGCCCACAGTATGCCTCAGATTGCAGGAAAATGGCTTAAATATTTCAAAATTTTCTGGGGGGGCATGTCCCCAGACCCCCCTAGCACTGGCATGCCTACGGCACGCGGGCCTGCTTGCGGCAGCCAAGGTTAATTTCGCCCCCGGCTATCGCCGATCATCCCCCCCCCACTCCTCAGTACGGATTTACGCCCCTGACTACCCTACTACGCAGAGACACGCACACACTAGCGCGCATGCACTTATTTATATATGTACAGATATGTGCTCATCGTAATGTAGCGCCAATCATGTGGATTGTATCATAAGATTTATATGGAACGTTTTGTTTTACGATATAATTTTAATGGTTAATAGCTATATTTGCATTGTCTCTTTCAGTGTAGGCACTTGTATTGCTACCATTCTTCAATGCAATCTATGATCTATAATCTATTAGTGATGTACACTAGAAAATTGATATAATTGCGTAGCTACTAGTACTATATAATGGTGGCAAGCAAACATATCTCTTCTGGTTCTACTCACATATAGACCTTCGTTCCACAACAGGAGTGAACTAGTTGTGGAGCAAAGAGATACACGGTTAGAGCCAATTAAGTTCATTCACCTGATAACTAACCTCATAAATAATAGTCTTCAAAAGTCCAAGGGACTATAATGAAGATGGAGAGACAAGTTGATCAAATCAACAGATGAACACTGCGGATCGCGGTGGAAAAAGCCGCAAATTTGCAATTTAATAAAGACGAAGGGAGAGAATTCGGTTCAAGGATAGAGAACATGGGTCCCAATAAAATCAATATCATTTACATCAATATAAATATAATATTATATCAATAGAATAGGTTAGGGTTAGGGGTTAGGGTAGGGTTAGGGTTAGATATTTAGGGTAAATTAGTAGGCGTTAGGTTAGCAACCTGGGTTTTAATTTGGACGATGTTCTCTTATCCTTGGTCGAGAATGTCCCGATAGCGGAATCAGCAGAACATTCATGTATATATGTATTCGATCTATCGATGACATAAGAATTACACTTAGCTCATGCTTCGTTTTTATAGCTTATTTTCCCTGTTCAATGATATAAGCCATATTTAATTTCGCATGCATCCGTTCAGAAACAATATTCTATATTTGTTTTGACGGATGCATGGCGAAATTAAATGTCCTTTATGCTAATCTATATGTAATGAGTAGGAGGCCCCTAACAGTATTAAGTATTACTGAGTATATAGTCTTCAAAGTCACAAGGCTATTATAAAATTTCATAACACGCACAGTTGGTGGCACGCCAGAAATAACCTTGTCCATAATATCATGATCAGTCCTCTTGTAGCTTATAATATGACCTCGCGTCTTACATTTTCGTTTCGTACTCATCGACACTGTTCGGATACAGTGACGTTGACATTGTATGTCAAAGCTGACCTACCATCCCCGTGGCGGAAGCATGAAAGAAGGAAACCCTCGAAAATTAATATAGCTACAAACAGTTCTCAAACTAACCTGGTCGCTAGACGACGCCTCAGACCATATTCTTCCCTCTGTCCCGACCGTACCCCCTCTTCTCATCCAAATGATGCAATGCAAATCAATTATAACTGAAAATAAAGTTACATTACAATGACCAATTTCGAGAGGTAACCGATGTCGATTGTGATCTATGTCGTGATGGTATAACTTGTCACTGACATAGAATGAGCTTGTTGCCGATCGACGCTCAGAATCTCACAGGCACTCCAATCGAACTTATGCTTTAACGAATAGGTAAATAAACACGAAATTGTATTAGCTACCAAAGTCTCCATTTTTCTCTACTCTCTTGTCCGCTAGTATTGTTGATAATTTCCTGTAAATGACGTTCAAGATCTCCTCTGTCAAACACGAACAATGCACCCAGATGATGACAACTCCATGTTAAAAAGTCCGCGGCGCGCGCAGTACCGCGATCGATTACATGACTGGATTACGATGCTGCTACCTCCGTTGCAGAAGCAGGCAATTACCAATGATTAACATACTAGACGATCTGCCACCCTCGCGTAGAAACCGGCATTACAGTGCATTATATGCCTGGACATGCTGCTACCGTATGACAGAAGCAGAAATTACACGGGCCAAGTCCGTTGTTACTAGTGTAGTATCAAGTAGTATGTTGAGCCCCATATCACTTAATTTTCATTTGCTTGCCACTTTATTACTAGCGGGTGAACGTAATTGTGCACTAATATTAACATTATAATTGATTTATTTAATGGTTAATTCATTCCAAAAATAGTATCTCTAACCTTCTCTAAAATGTAAATAATTTTGTCTTTGTGCCAGCCGAAATGTTTATACTAATTATATCATGAATGTAACCTATTTAGATGCAGAATTTGATACATATTAATAATCAGATTTATATAGGCCGGAACATAGGAGAGCACGTAGAACGAGACTAGAGCGTGCGACAATCGGAGACAAAAAGAAAGGGCAGCGAAATAAAGTAGGGTTTTTGCACTCTTACCATAGCTTAGGGCCTCTCCTAACATAAACCAAGCCAGTACTGATCTGATAAGAATTATTAACAGAAACCTATTGTTGAGATATCCTCTGAGCCTATTAAATAAATTTTTCATCACAAATATATATGACTCCCTGGTCGTAGTAGTATTGCCGCATGGCTAGAACACGTAAACGCAGTCCAGTTATATACTCGACTGGTATAAGTGCAGCGCGAACCTGACATGCATAGGTCTCGCTTCCTATTTTGAAATGAGGTCTACTGATAAAATTTTATCACATAAATCTATGTCAGGATAAACCCCTCTTATTTTAAATTATAATGTTGTGCAAAATAATCTTCTTCTCGGAGATATTGCATGCGCGAGCACCATTTCAGACATCCGTACGCCAAAGAAAAGTATGCTAAAATAGCTCTGGGGAAACTGGAGAGGAAAGGTGGCAGGAAGTACCAGTCAAGGGCGATGGAAGAGAAAGGAGACAGAGCGTGCGACAATGGAGACAAAAGAGAAAGGGCGGGCGGGAATAAAAGTAGGAGTTTGCACCCACGCTGCAGGCGCTCTCCTCAACTAAAAGAAGCGATCTACTGATAAGAATTTTATTACAGACAACCTATGTGCAGATATCCCTGACCAAATATCAAATCATTTTCATCAGCAAATATAACCCTCTGGTAAGATATTGCACATGCGTAAATCAGTAACCGCAGCCAGGTTATATACTGCACTGGTATATTCAGCGGGAAAACCTTACATGCAAGGTCTGCTTCCTATTTCTCGAACCTGAGGTCTACTGATAAATTGTTATCACATAAATCTATATGCTATGATAACCCCTCTTTTCATTTTAAATTATAATGTTTAGAAATATTCTTCTTCTCGGGATGATATTGCGCATGCGCGACAAACCATTTTCGACGTGCCGTACGACGCAAAAAAAAAAGGCAAAGTAAGGCTTGCTGAGAGCAGAGAGGGTGGTAACGAGGAAAGGTGCAGGAAACAGTCGAAGGGCGATGGCAAGGTGAAGGAGGCTGAGCGGCGACAATGAATGACAAAAAGAGGGTCGGGCGGGAAAAAGATAGGAGTTTTGCACCCCCACATGGCTAGGCGCTCTCCTAATAAAACGACAAGTCTACTGAATAAAATTTAAATTACAGAAACGCTATGTGAAGATATCCCCTGACCATATTAAAGTGCATTTTCATACCAAAAATAAAACTCCTCTGGTGAGATTGCACATAGCGTTAAACAGTAACGCCAGGCCAGGTTAATAACTGACGTATATGCAGCGGGAACCTTACATCAAAGTCTGCTTCCTATTTCTGAAATGAGGTCTACTGATAAACATTTATCAAATAAATTCTATGCTACGGATAACCCTCTTTATTTTAAATCATAATTGTTTGCAAAATATTTCATTCTCGGTGAGATATTCGCATGTCGCTGAGCACCCATTTTAGACTTGCAGTTACGGCCAAAAGAAAAGTATGGCAATATTAGCTTGTCTTGAGGGAGAGAGGGTGAACTGAGGAAATGTAGGCCATGGAAGACAGTCGAAGGCGATGGATGGGAAGGGCTGAGCGTTGCGATCCAATGAAGGACCAAAAGGAAGGCGGGCGGAATAAAGTAGGAGTTTTGCACCCTACAGCTTAGGCGTCCTCCTAACTATAAACCCATGTCTGTATTCGTGCCCAAGGGGCAGGTCTACTGCATAAAAATTATTACAAAACCCTGTATGCCAGATATCCCCCTGACCAATATTAAATTGGCATTTCATCACAAAATATAACTTCTTTCTGGTGAGATATTGCGCATGCTTAAGAACAGTAACGCAGCAGGTTATATACGACTGTATACTGCAGCGGGAACCCTTACATGCAAGTCTGCTCTATTTGCTAAATACGTCTATCCGTAAAATGTAATACATCAAATCTAATGCTAGGATAGACCCTCTTTCATTTTATATTCATTAATGTTTGCAAAATATTTTTCTTCTTGGGAGATATTGTGTCATAGCGCGATCACCATTTTAGACGTGCAGTAACGGCCAAAAGAAA